CAAAGTTTTCCTTAACAAAAAATATCCAGATTTCACAAAAGTTCGGCAGCGCTTCCCGTAGGAAAAGTGTCTTTCCAGAATTTTTAGGTGTAAAAAAATTACTAACTCCTTCAGATTTGTAAAAATTTCGGCAGCGCTTCCCGTAGGAACAGGAGACTGCCAAAATTTATACAAAGCTGAAAATGCAAAGACAAAACATGACTATACTTGGGACTAACTTCTGACACTTACCTGATAATTAGAACCGATAGTCTGCACAATCCCTTCTTGAAGATGGCATCGTGAGCTAACACCGATCCTAACTCCTAGTAGGGTCAGTCCTATCTTACCCCAAGTTTCCCTCCTAGCATCCATCTCACCTACCTATAGCTCCAGCACTCAGCGAGCATCTAAAGCAACTAAGCTATCAAAAAAGAAATCCCCAGAGATACCCCAAAAGAAGCATACATAGGTGAGCACAACAACATCTCTCACCAACCCACAGGTTTCTTTCCAAGTCACATGGTTTGTTAAAAAAAAACCTCGTTATTCCCTTTTTTACCCTTCCTTACATTTGACATAGGATCAGTTAACCCAACTTATGGATGTGACTGATCTGCCAGTTTATATGGCTAGGCCACACCAACTTATGGTGCCCTAACCTGGTAAAACAAGTATACGTAAGGCATATGACCAAACCACACCAACTTATGGTGTGACCAGTTTCTGCCTAAACGATTGACATAAGGCGTATGTCCGGGCCGCACCAACTAATGGTGACGCTGACCAGCCTGAACTTTTCTGCATACACAAAAAAACTGAACCTCCTCAACTTATGCGGGGTCAGCCTTAGCCTGAACAACGACAAAAGGCATATGACCAGAACACAACAACTTATGTTGTGTCCGACCAGCCCACACAGTGACATATAGCATAAAACTAGGTTACTCAACTTATGAGTAGTCTAGTCCCGCCTAAACAGCAACAAGCGCGTGTGACCGAACAACCCGCAACTTATGCGTTCGTTCGGCCTCCGCAACACAACAACATTCAATAAATAGGGTCACTATCAAATTATGTCTTCAGACGAGTGGTCAAACTATCTCAACTTATGAGGATCCCCACCCAAATGTCGGTTATGTTTAGAAAAAGAAATAGTTGAACTTTATATACCTCTCTGCTTTTGTGTATTTAAGGACATAAGACCAACTACCCAACTTATGGATGAGTCAGCCTGCCTAAAGTTACCACTCAATTTTATACTATGAATCTTATTTTCTCCTCTGCTTTGTCTGCTACCGGCTTATATGGGTGGATCTCCTAACTTATGGCGCCCAACCTGCCAATGGTATACATAATAAATAGAAGTATCACATTGTATACTCCGATTCTCCTTATGTTAGCGGCTCATGACTTGACCACACCAACTTATGGTGTGAATAGTCTGCCTGAACAGAATAAACATTAAGGCATAAGACTGATTCGCACCAACTTATGGTGTGGTCAGCTTCTGCCTAGACAGTTGACATAAGACGTATGACCAAACCGCACCAACTTATGGTGAGGCTGGTCAGCCTAAACATTCGGTATACACAAGGATATGGACCACCTCAACTTATGAGGAGTCCAACCTTTGCTTGAACAACGACGAAAGGCATATGACCAGAACACAACAACATATGTTGTGCCCCGACCAACCTAAACAGTTATATATAGCGTAGAGTAAGGCTACCCAACTTATGAATATTCTAGCCCAGCATAAACATAATCACATGTGCGAAGAACTCAACAACCCGCAACTTATGCGTTCGCTCAACTTCCTCAACATAAGTTACAAATTTGTCTTATCTGAATTCATACTGATAATCTGAATTAGGTCATTTATATTTGTCAATTTCATCTTTCAGATCATGTCCTGAAATTCAAAACAAACGAAAAACAGTTAGCTTTCTCAGTCATACTTACAGGCACACAATAGCAAAGGGTTAGTATAGTTTTAGGATAGGATCACACGCATAAAACGATTGTTATACCTGAGTGTTCCCTGCCTCCATCCCAAATGAGGAAGCATGTTCAAACCCGTACATGTTAGGCACGCCACAGGGGAACCTTGTGTGGAAGTGTGCCGCGATCCTTACTTGCTGAACTTCAAAAACATGGCACTGCTGGGAACCCTGTGCGGAAGTGTGCTAGGATCCGTACTTGTTAAACTTCATAAACGAATAAAGACAGGCACGCCCATCAGGGAACCCTGTGTGGAAGTGTGCTGGGAGCCTTACTTGTTGAACTTCAAAAATGTGTCGTGAATCTTGTGCGGAAGTGTGTCGGGATCCGCACTTGTTAAACTTCATAAACGAATAACGACAGACACGCGCATCAGGAAACCTTGTGCGGAAGTGTGCTGGGATCCGTACTTGTTAAACTTCAATTCCATAATTGTGACGAGCAATGTGTCATGATTGTATCCTCGTTGGATAAGTATATTAGACGACGTAGAGTAGCGATAAGCACGCCCATCCGGGATGCCTGTGCGATAGTGTGTCGGGAGCCACACTTGTCAAACTTCAAGTTTGTGAATGTGATGAGCAAGTTGTCATGATTGAATCCTTGTTGGATAATACTATATATTTCTTTTATGCGTGAGTTGTACATGCATGGCTATCGTCTCGTCTGAGGGGGTTGTTTGGATGTTGTAGAGATTCAGACTTCTTTAGAAGTACAAACAAAACAGTTACATACAATTTATTTTTTCCGGTCAAGAACGCAAAATTGTCGATCACATGTAATTCAGGCGGTCACAAGTACATGATTGTCTATGCACACAAGAGACGTGATGTCACTGGTCTTTAACTCTTTGCATAACGAACCTCACACCCACACACTCGCCGAGATTTGTCTTGCATCCACACTCCAATTCGTCATGTCTCACCACACACACGAATATCATTTCGAGCTGAATTATGTGCACAACCTTGGATGACCTGGACACAATTTGCAACGAGGACTGCAATGCGATGAATGTAATGACATGACAGACGAGCCGGACCTGACAGAGATTCCGAAGGCAATACGCGACACCAAACTGGCAGTCAACATACCAAAGACAACTCAAACCCGCAACACTGAAAGAAAGTAATGTCGTTGTGAAAGCGACAGTTAAAATATGAAATATTCTGAAACAGAAGTTTGCAAATCAATCGAATCCATCAAAGACAACGGCATTCCAAGACACATGATGCCAGTTGTCGTCTAATATACGGAATATTTTTACAAGAGAAGCTGAAAGACGGTCGATCGCCACGTTGCAACAATGTTGCAAACATCAACATAAACATCCCGCAACTAACTCCATCCACTTGTCTTGGAACTCCCTCTATAACAACATTTGCTGCCACCGACTTCCAGCGCCTGCACGAACGCCTATGTGATGTTTCACATTCCAAATAGTGTACGATCAACTCGAAAACACTAAGGTAAAAAATAGAATCGGCTACAACGCAAGGAAAAAAATCGAAAATCTCAAGAACATTATCTCTCAAGCTCATGGAAAGGAGGGTCCAGTGATCATTATCTTTGAGGACTGGAACAAAGATAATATCATATTCAAGCAGATTCATGTTTTTAGCCCATCTTTCCATCCCGCCGTGCCCTTGAAGTTGCACTTTACTGAAGAAGAAAGAATTAAAGGTGAAGACTCGAAGGCCTGGCGGGATGTCACTTGTCCCATATGCGGTCGTTCCTAATAGCGCCATGTAGAAGTTGACCACCTCATCATTCACCCTACCGTCGGTAAGTGAGAGGGTGAGAATATCCTTCGCTGCAATTCGCAACTGACCATCGTGGAGGGTCGAGAGTACAGTGTCAGGTGGCACGAAGCCTTGTTCAATGTCGTCCAAGACCCGCAAGCTTCCAATCGCAGTCACTACTATTCCAGGTGCCGTGGCCCGCACTGCACAACATCGAGCGAAGGACAGGGGGGGAAGTGAGAAACGGAACACTAACAATTCTCCTTCATCGCACAACGAGAAGCTAAGTATTTCTCATACATGGCCTGACATCTAGTCACAGATCGTGGATATGTCCCTTTCTCTGGGGGTAGAAGGGAAAGACACTCCTCAATGGCAATTGTATGCTCCTTCTTCCCGATTTCGACATCAACCCCTGACGCCTTTAACATGTCCTTGTGTTTTGTCATCAACCCCGGGACTATATGCAATATGTGTTCCGGATATTTAGAGGGTCTTCGTGTTCAAGACGACCCTACCCCTGTACAACAGAAGAAAGACAAAACGGAAAGTGAATACACGTCTCCGAAGAAGACCCCGACGAAACGACAATTAAAAGACCACGAAATCTAAAAGACGTAGGACCCATGCAATTACAGAACCCCGTCATGCCATGAGAGTGCGAGAGAGAGAACTTCCGCACGAGCCACGTTGCAAAACAAAACGAGCGGTGCACTCGAGCTCGACACCCCCGCCCTTCAGAAGGGAAAAACACATCAAGTCACAGAAGCAGAAGGCAAACATCTCTGAAGTCTAGATCCCGGCGGATTTTTCCAACCCAGGGAGATGACCCAACCCCTGTGCAACCGAAGGAAGAGAAAACGGAAAATGAACTCACGTAATCCAAGACGAACCCGACGAAAATGACAACTCAAGAACCACGAAATGTAGAAGACGCAGGACCTATCTATTTACAGAGCCCCGTTTAGCCATGAGAGAGATAGAGAATACTTCCGCGCAGGCCCCGCTGGAAAACAAAAGGAGCAGTGCGTTCGACCTCGACACCCCCGCCCTTCAGAAGGGAAAACCTCAACAAGCCACAAACCTGGAGGCCAAACATTTGTGAAGTCAGGATCCCGACGGACTTTTCCCAATCGAAACACCAGAAGAGTAACCGTGTTACACAGCGGCCTTGGCAGTGCGGATCCCGGTGGACTAAAACCACCACTCATTCCGAAAGAGAAACACCATCCTTCCATTATGTGAGGGAACGCTTCAACAAAAACACACATGTTTTTGTCTCGTGCGCATTGACAGACACTGCGGTCACTAGCGCGCAGACATAGTGGCGTTTGTCACTGCTTACCAGCTGGTTTGTCTCTCCGCTCCTGAATCGGCGAAGTTGGCGCGGGCAAGGCCAGCATGTCGAGAGCTCGAGTGCCGGCGGTAGTTTTTTTTGGGGATGTGACATCTTGTCGTTCCCCGATCCCGCCTTCTCCTCCGCCGGCGATGGTCGGCGGCAGCATCGGAGAGATCGTCGGCGAGAAATCGACGACAGATCCCCCGGAAGGCTTGACGTCGAGAGGGTCCTCGACACCAGGCGTTGAGGACGGCTGCGTGGATATTTGGTGGTCGCCCAGGATGTCGTCGATAACTTCTTCGATGTCACTACGCACACTCGGTTTAGTCAGGCTGACTGCTACACGAGCTTCGTTGAACCGGTGTTGGAGATCGACGGCAGACGTCATTGCTTGGACCTCATAGTCATCACATTCTGACGAAAGGCTTGTGACCACCTGTGTCTCCATACCCAGTGCCGTGTCATCGTCGTCCTCGTCTTCCTCGCGGTGTTCTCCGTACAGCTGCCCGAATCCGTCAGAAGACTCCCCAGATCTGTCATCGTCATCGCCGAAAGTCCGTTCGTCGTCTCCTGTATCGAGTTCACCTTTTCCCCCCTCCTGCCCTCCTAGCAACCCAGCCAACTCCGTTTCTTCCCCTTCCTTTCCTTCATCCTCTTCTTCCTCCCCTTCATTCCTTCCTTCCTCCATTTCCTCCCCTGTGTCTCCTTCCTCCACTTCCTTCTCTTTGTCCATCACCCTGCCTTCTTCCGCTGCATGCAATGTAGCCACTTCGCCCGAACCCGTGTCGATTCCCGATGAATGCGCTTCCCGCCCGCCGCACGCAGCCCCTCCCGCCTGCACCAATATCCCTGGTTGGCCCCCCTTGCCTGAAGATATTCGGATCCCGGCGAACTTCGTCGACTCCCTGTCGCTGGGCCCTCCACACGCCTTGCCTGAAGAAGTTCGGATCCCGGCGAACTTCGCTGTCTCCCTGTCGCCGGGCCCTCCACACGCCTTGCCTGGAGAAGTTCGGATCCCGGCGAACTTCGCCGTCTCCCTTTCACCGGGCCCTCCACACGCACCCTCTCGCTCCGACCGAAGCGGTTGGTGATCCCCCGCAGGCGGCGAAGTCCCGTCCCTCACCGCTGTCTATTTTGGGATGACGATTCGCCACCCCCGGTCCAGACCAGCTCTGCGCGTCCGTCCTCTCTGTCCGCTCTGCAAGCATTGAAGTTCGGATCCCGACGGACTTGAACGTTTCGACCGAGCCAGCACGGAGAGCAACCAAGGCCGCCATCACCGAGCAGGCGGATGAATTGGGCACGTCCTCCGACTGTGCCGAGCATTCCGGACCGGGACTGGTAGACTGCTGACGCCCGAGGGCCTCCCCCGCCACCCCCCCGCTGCCTTCCGCTGTCATGGTGTCGCCCTGAGACCCGCCCTCACCCTCGTCGCCGTCTTGTTGTCGCCCCGGGACTCGTTTGCCGCCCCCAGCCTCGTCGCCCTCGTTCTCCCCACCTTCCGGTCCCCGGGACCCTGTACTTACATGCGTCCCACTGGGAGGGGGGATTTTCCAGTCCACCCTTCCTTTCGAGGGGCTCGTGTCAAGGTCGTAGTAGTCCTCTGTCAACTCCAACCAGCACTTGTTCTGAAGTTCGGCGAACAATCGCCCGACTGTGGAAATGACGGACACGTCTTCGGGCTCGAAAGAGCCATTCTTGGCCTTCACTTTCTGGAGGACCGCAATTCTAGCGACGTCGAGGAAGTCAGACTTCGACCCGCGAGGGAGTGGCATCCATCCTCCGTCTGGGACAGCGACCGCCACGATCCACTCACCCTTTTCGATCGCCGGCTGGATGACTCCTGGATGCCAAATCATGTCATGGCCCCAGTCCGCCTCCGTGGAACGACTTTGAGGCTCAGGCAGGAAGTGAATGTTCGTCCAAGACAGATGATCGGGCGGGATGTCTGACCCGAGACGCAGTGAGCGATGGCCGGAGGCCAGAGCTTGCATTCTCTGCAGCAACTTCATCGGGGTAGTGCCAGGCGCTGGTTTCACCATCGGCGACACGAGGGACGTTGGGCTTGTCGACGGACCTGCCAAGGACGACCCTGTACCGTGCTGCGCGGAATGTTGGTCGTACTGCAGGTCGAGGCTTTCGGTGTCGCTGCCCTCCTCGTCCGCTGTCGCGTCGAACTCGATGTCGGTGGTCTCCTCGTCTTCCGTGGAGATCAAGGAGGAGTAACTGCCGAACGTCAGCTCCTCCTTTGACTCCACGAAGTAAAGGGACTGCAACCTCTCGAGGAAGGTCTTCGCGTTCATGCGGGAGGCGCCGTGGTAGTTGTCGAGCAACATGAACATGTGGTCCTTGCGGTGCACGTACTCGGCGTCGGTGTCTCTCTTCGGCCTCGTTTGCAGGAACAAGAAGTCGTATATCTTGTTCCGCTTCCTCGCACTCAACTTGAACCACATGTCCGTCTTGTTGTTCCACGCGCGAGCCCGAGTCTCGGTGACGACCATGAACTCGCAATTGTGGGCACCCGAATTGACCTCACTTTTGACGAGATCAATTGTAAATTGCAAGAGCTCGGCGTTCCCTTCCATCATGATGACGTGCCGTCCTGCCTTCAGTACTTCCCAGACTGACCGCGCGTGTGGCCTCCCGAGGAAGACGACACCCTCCCCCTTCTTGGTGATGGATTCGAGAAGCTGAACGAATTGGGCGGGGTTGCGGTCCATGTCCCCGTACACGCAAGCGTTGAATGGGATGTCGGACACATCCGTTTGCGTAACCTTCTGTGGTACCCGCACTGCAGTAGCGGCGCCTGCCGGCAGTTTCCCCTCGTAGACGACGAACGTGTTGGCCCGCAAATCATCGCCTTTGAAGAGTATGTACATCCGGTCGTCTTCCGTGTACAAATTGTTCCCGACGGGGAAGCTTTTCTTCTGTTGACTCCTCCTCACCCACTTCCCTTCCAGCAGCTTGACGAAAGAAAGATGGTTCATGCTGGCCAGAAAGGAGAGGTTCTGCTGCCGCGGGATAAAAACAAGGAGCGTCCAATGCGACGGACACCACGTCTGGAGTTGGGAATTAAGAGTGTCGAACGCTTGCGGTTTCCAAAGCTTCAGGTCCACCGGTTCGCACAGATCCAGGACGAACGTGTGACTCTTTGTGGCAACCACTGCCTCCTTCACCCCCGCACTCCTTATGTCTGCCTCCAAGGGGTCGTTGCTGAATGGCGCGATGGATGTCACGTCGCCCGTGTCATTCCATTTTATGTGCACAATGCCTTCGGTGAACGCGATCTCTCGACTCTTCAATCTACTGCCAGTCAACACGGACAGGACCTTATTCCTCCAGTCGACGGACAACTTCTTGCGACCGGCCAGCTTCTCCGTCGCCTCGATCGATTTGTCGTCGTCGCAGCCCATGTAGGGCGGACAGTCCTTGAACAGCGAGGAGTCAGTGACGTATTTCGTGCTCCCGTCCCACAACTCAACATCCAAACCACGACTCTCAAACTGTCTGAAAATTGCGGACCTTGATTTCAGGAACGGGAACCTCTGGCTCCAATCCGCGTTCGACCTTTTGTCGTGCTTGAACTGGTAGTAGTTCCACAGACGCACCAGCACCCGGTCGCACTTCACCAAATTCACCACCTCCTGGACGCTTAGCTTTCCGAGCTTCGCCAACGCTGGGGAGCTGGCCTGTACCCAAACCACCTCGCAGGTGAGCACCTTCTTCAGGACGTGGCACTTCTCGTTGTCTGTCAGCGACTCCATCGTTTTCCAACAATGCGCGTCCGGCTCTGGCACTTGCACAAACCACTCGCCCTCCTCTATCTTCTTTTTGCCTTTCTTTGTCGGCGGGTCCACAGGGACGTTGTACACGACCTCCTTCCTGCCCAGCTTGGCATTATGGATGTATGCAACCCCAGGCTTCACGTTTTTGACTTTCTTCTTCCGCATGATCCACTTTGCGCCGTCGTGTCTGAGCAATCTGCGTGTCTCTCATTTCTCGAAAAACTCGACGGCCAGTTTCCAAGCGTTCTCCCCTGCCATCGCCAGCGGGAAATAGGAACGCAGGGCAGCGCCTTGTTTCCTGATGGCCTCCTCGCCCTGCTGATCTGCGAGAATCCACAAGTTGTTGTGCGGTGTCATGTTGAGTGCGACATTACAGAATTCACGCCACTTCCGGACCTGATCCTGTTTTCCGATGGGGTTCCCCATAACAGCACGTGGGCAACCGACGCACTTCCACTGCCACCTAATGTACCTCATTCACAGCTTCAGCTGTCGTGGGGGTGCCTTCAGGTCCTTCTTGTTGGCCTGGGAACTGACAAAGAAGTACCCTTCGAAGTCGTCGTCCGAACAATCGTCCGAACAATAGACCATTCGTGCAGACCACTTCTCGAAATTGTATTTCCGGCCACCTCGCTGCCGAGCAGCGAACTCGCTGCAGCCGCGTTGTGCTGCCCACACACCGCGTAGTAGTAGTATTGTCCCGCCGGCTCATCCCTCCAATCCTCCGATCTCATACGTTCTGCCTTGGTCCCCGAAGTCGGTTTATCAAGCCCCAGCGGCGCCAGTTTCAGGGTTGGTAAATCGTAAGACTGCGCTTTGTTTTCGAACGCCAACCGCATCACTTCTTTGATCCCTTCCACGAGCACGGCATCCAGAGACCGCTGGCTGTACAGGTCCTCTCAGTCCCTGAGGTCGACGACCTGCGCAGGGCTAATGTCAAACTCCCGCTTTGTCCGAACGCCGTCTTTGTACTCGAGGAAGTACCCGGCGTCGACGTCGATGTGAGTCCCTGTTGTCGGTGGAGAAGACGGTCCAGACTCAGGCTGCTTCTGTATCGAAAAAGGTCGTTTGGCAACCTGCCGGCCCTGCTCCCCCTCGGTCCCCTTGCGTTTCTCCCCCGCAGTCCTGGGGGCCTTGCTCTTTAACTTCTTCGTAGAACCGGCGAACTCGTCTGGACGATCCCCCCTCCTCTTTTGAGGAGCTCCTTGCGAGCCCAGGCCTCCCGCGTCCACCTCCTCCACACCCTGTCCCTCGCTCGCCTCCAAGTCGACCTCCGAATAGGCCGCCACCTGTACTGCAGGCCCCGTACTCTTCCGCTCAACTGGAGCATCAGTATGAACCCCAGGAATGAACAACACAGACCGTCGCGTGACACTCAACGGCAGAGCAGTCCCCTCATCCTCGTTGTCGTCGAACAGACCTCGGCTCTCGCCATGGTGCAGCTGAGTGGCGGGACCAGAACCCAGATCACCGCCCTCCGCCGCTGCCCCGTTTGACTCGCAACCGCTGCACAGCTTCAACGGCAACGACAACTCCAGGGATGGGTTGACGTCGCAGGGGACGTCTAGAGCGATGTTTTTGTACTCCAACATGTCGAAAAATTCACGCACCAAAACAAAACCGCCCCCGAGAACGAGTTCTCTGTAGAACGGGGTGTTCACAGCACCCGCTTTGAACCCCTCACACAATTCGAGGTCCAACAACGTCCCTTTCGAATTGGCAACGACGTTGCCCTTGGCGCCATAAACTTTCTGCATATAGAAATGTCGCCGTCCCCCCTTTGCGTCCTCCCACCGCAAGACAGCACCAACCACTCTACGCCTTCTGCTGTCATCGATGAAGATGACAGGACCACATGGCTGCGCAGTGGGGTTGGAAGCGTCTCCACAACACCAGTTGATGAACCATTTCGACCTCGAATGGTTCGACCACCCCTGTGTGGCAGTAGACGACCGCCTCGTGGAATCTTTTCGTGATTCCTTCCCGGAGGTCCCTGTTGGCTCCACCTCGCCCTTGGAAGAAGACATACTGTCTGCGAAAGACAACGCAAATCGAACAGCACACCATGAAGTCAACGTCTGTCAAAACACAGGAGAAACAGAACACTCGCTGCCACACGTCAACGCAGGCTGTAGCACAGCGAAAGCCGCACACGAAGACACCCGGGCACCCAAATCCGGAACGGTGAGAAGGGGTAGTCCGCCGGGATCCGAACTTCAAGTGGGCAAAAAAACCGAGAGGCAGACAGAGAGAGAGAAGCAAGTGAAAACTCGCAGTGCGCATGAGATCACGCGCTGTTTCTGCGGTACACGGGGCACCCTGAAGAACAAAGACAGACAAATGCACAGTGAAAATCGCGAAGTCTGTCGGGATCTGAACAAAAGGACAGTGCATGAGATAGAGACGTCGGAAGCAGATTTCGGGAATTTTTCGCACGAATCAACAGGCGGTCATGTTCGAAGCTCGCGGTCGACGGGGTAGTGTTTCCGACAGTCCAACAGCCGAAGCTCGCCGGCAGCCAAACTAGAACAGAGAGGCAACCATGCAGCCAGCGTCCCAGAACCGTGCTCGACCAAACACACTCCGGAACCGTTGCCGGGCGGGTTGTGCAACCCACCCGGAACCACGAAGACTCACGACAAAGCAACGCACCTCCCGAAACGTGAAGTTCGCCGGGATCCGAACTTCAGGACGATGCGACAGGCAGAAACGGCGTCTCGGACACACGATCCGCAAGTCTAAGGTTGCTAAACTCAAACCCGACCCAGGAAGGCCACACCGGAATGAAAGGCTGGTTGAAATGGAGAAGTCCGCCCTAATCCGAACTACTTCGATTTCCGATCTCGTGTTATGCACAACTTGGCACTGGATGAACCCAAGCTCGAAAGCAACAGCCGTGTCAACATTTCGTAGGTCCTTGGACTTTGGCTGTTGCTGGAATCCACGAGGGATCCGGAAGACCACTGTCTGTGGCAATAGATAGGCGACTCCTGAAGTTCGTCGAGATCCGAACTTCAGGAGGACGCGAGAAAGAGAGACAGAGAGAAACATTGGAGCAACTCCGAGTCCAAACGCAAGACGGTGTTCGACCAAGGCGCACAAGGAAAAACCCCAGGGTTTCACAGCCGACCGCAGGTTTTGATGGCAGCAGTCATCGAGTCCAGGCGTAATTGGTAGCAGGACCGTTTCCGACTCCGCTCAGCACTCGAAGCTCGGAGGCCGGTAGGACGCACAGGCCAAACCGCGAAGTTCGTCGGGATCCGAACTTCAAGAGGGCGCGACACGGAAAGAGACGGCGTGCACTAGCAACTGCTGCCTCTAGCGCCTTTCTCCACTACTAAAACTCTGCTATGTTCGGCAGCACACAAGCCTCTCACTCGTCTTCCTTCTTTTCGCTTAAGCAGGATGTCCAACCACACGTCCATATCTTGTGACAATTGCGGTTCCTCGAGGACGAGGTCGCGAACCGTAGCCATACAAAGCATTCATTGACGATCCGTAAACGCAGACCAGCGGATCGTCGATCGTTGCAGTTTCTGAAAAGACGGACATGTATTTCATCCTAACAAACACTCCCGGTCGTGCTAAGGAGTTCCCTATACAGTCCGGTATGGCGGACACTTTCTCATCGACCTCCCCAAACAACGAAAAGTTTTGGACCGGCCCTGCTATAACCAAATCTCGCCACCCATCTACACGTTCAGGCCCGAGCGTCGACACGAATTTGGACCCCTCAATTACCACCTCGTTGTGTGATACAAGCACAACTGCATCGACGAGTTTCCTGCTCTTGTTCGACGCAACGACACATAGAACTCTGGCGAAATCAGACCCGAGCACAGTCAATCGCACACAACAGTATGACACAACTTGTGGAGAATTCCCGGGGCACCGGAGCGGGTACTGGCCCAGGAACGAGACGTGACAAGCGCAGTCTAGCAACTCTTGTTTCGGCGAGCCTCCCCAAGTTCGTGGCGACGACCTGACGTAGTGGCATTCGAGGCGGCTGAAATGGCGGCTAATGCAGCCTCGTGCTCTGCGCATGTGGTTCAAGAACTTGTATCCGAGGGCAGCGTCAGACAGCGGGATGAGGTTCCCGAACTCCAACATGTTGGCGAGTTTGTACTAGCTTGCCCAAGGGCAACGACTCTCCATCGTGGCCCAATTCCCATCGCACCAATCGTCAATATGCGCGTCCCTGCATGGGACGACGGTCATCCAGGGGTCCTCGTCGAAGTCCTCTACGGTCGCTCTGTGGATCATAGTCACACCGTTGAAATGCCGCACTGATCTCACGCAAGGAGGAAACGGTTCTGCTAAGCGAATGTGCGTTTCGGGACTCATGGTTTGTGGTGTCGAGAAGATCAACTCAAAGATTCATGGTGTCGAGAAGGTCCCATCCATTACATGCCCTACACACCACGCGCACATACCAAACGATACACACGGGGACGCTGACACTCGTAAACATAGTTGGCGAGCAATCAAACGACATAGGTCCCTCGCTGTGGTTGTGCACTGTGGTTGGAGCGCGAGTTGGGTTTTACGAAAGGCAAGAACCTGAAGTCCGTTGGGATCCGAACTTGGCGGAATGCTGTGGGAGAGACACAACTGTCTATCAAACTCGCCTTTCCATTCTTTCTTGAAGTTCGGATTCCGGCGGACTTCACATTTTCACAGGTCCACTGCTGTGGTTGTGCACTGGGGCTGCAACTGGAGTTGGGTTTTACGAAAGGCAAGAACCTGAAGTTCGCTGGGATCCGTACTTGGCAAAATGCCGTGGGAGAGAAACAGCTGTCTGTCAAACTCGCCTTTCCATTCTTTCTTGAAGTTCGTATCCTGGCGTACTTCACATTTTGACAGGTCCACTGCTGTTGTTGTGCACTGGTATTGGAACTCGAGTAGGGTTTTACAAAAGGCAAGAACCTGAAGTTCGTCGGGATCCGTCCTTGGTGAAATGCCATGGGAAAAAAACAGTTGTCTGTCAAACTCGCCTTTCCATTCTTTCTTGAAGTTCGGATTCCAGCGGACTTCACATTTTCACAGGTCCAGTGCTGTGGCTGTGCACTGGGGTGGCAACTCGAGTTGGGTTTTACGAAAGGCAAGAACCTAAAGTTCGCCGGGATCCGTACTTGGCGAAATGCGGTGGGAGAGAAACAGTTGTCTATCGAACTCGCCTCCCCCTCTTTCTTAAAGTTCGGATTCCAGCGGACTTCACATTTTCACAGGTCCACTGTTGTGGTTGCCCGCTGGGGTTGCACCGCATGTTGGGTTTTGCGGAAGGCGTGAACCGGAGGTCCACCGGAATCCGAGCTTGGCGAGATTACGTGGGAGAGACACAGATGTCTATCAAACTCGCCTTCCCGTGCTTTCTTGAAGTTCGGATCCTGGCGGACTTCACATTTTCACAGGTCCCCTGCTGTGGTGGCTGCAAAACGTTCGTCGTTGGATGACCGACAAGGTTCGATGACCGACGAGGTTTGCCGTCCAGTGGCGTTCGATGTCCGCCAATATTTCGATGCCCGCCGAGGTTTGATGGGGCGCCAGGTCCGATGCCAAACAAGGTTCGATGGCCGACAAGGTTCGATGGCCAGCAACGTTCGATGTCCAACAACGTCGTCACGAACTGTCTTTTGTCCATTCCCGAACAGGGATCGACCTTTTTCGCGCGTTTCTACCATGTGGTGGACCAATTGCCCTGCGTGCTGCGTACGACCAATGGACGAGGAGGCAGGTCGAATGCAGTGCAATCGGGGCGAGAAAAGTGAACCGCTCGGTTGGCATGTCGGGTGCCCTGGTCGGCGACCGGCCGATCAATCAGCTAATTGGCCAACCACAAACCGGAAAGTCCATCAATCAACTAATCAGTTACTTGTGCCAACGCTCTCCTGTCAACCAGTTTGCTGGATCGGTCGTACGCCTGCCGGTTGGGCGATCGCGCAGAGGGTGATGCCACGGTTGCAACGCAAACACACGTTTGGCTGTATGGTTGGTGGACTGCTGGATCAACCGGTTGTCCGACCGCAGTCCGAACAATCGTTCAATGATGCTAGTAGTGGTGGATCTATTGACCAGTCTACTGTTCGCTCGGGGTACATCAACGAGTGTGATGGATCGGTTGGTCACCACCAGGTTGGTCGTTCGCGCACGGTGCCACGTGTGTTTTGTTACTACATTTGATACTGGCGAAAAACACACACGCGGTGACAACGTTGAGACAGCACACGCGATCAATCGACCGATCGCGAGCTCTTTGTTCGTGTTCGGCGATTGGTGGACTGGGTGCGTCTGCTGTCCCGACAATGTCACCTCCTGCTTTGATTGATCATTCATTCGGCAGATCAGCGACGGTATCGTGATCAATCGTGATGGTCATGTTCATCACTCATGTGCCATATGGCCGATGTCACCACTCACGTGTGGATGATTGATCTGATGAATGGAGAAAGATCCGATCTGCCACGCGGTTATTATGTTTCGTGACCGGTCGCCTCRCGCTCGATCGAAGCTTTCATCATGCATCAGTTACTCAGCTCATGAGAACTGCCCAATGAACGGTCGATCGAAACACGCGGTGACAATGTCGAGAGTGATCTGATCGTGCTCCCTTGATCTGGACTGCATATAATCAAGGAATATTATCTACCTTGT